AATAAAATAAAAATTTTTAATTTATTTTACCTCTATGCCAAGTTAAGGGGGGTCGGTTACTTATGATTTGTACTGTACATAAATATCTTTATTCAGTTTAATAGCAGTTGGCTGTATTTTCACATCAGCTGGAACTGTGAATGCAACAATTCTCATAACATTGTCAGTGTAAAATCATTCAATGAGGAAAACAGTAAAAAAGCAAGTTTAGGAGAAAATGATAAATCACTAACAATTTCAGAACCTAAATTATCCTACATCCCACCATCTTATACTAACTGATAATGAGATTCTGATCAATCGTCTAACGAGAGTGAAATAATGTATATTTTTAGTATAATAGACAACGTGCAAAAAATAAAGGCAGAACCATCCCTTTTATCTGTTATTTCATTTCCGTTAGGTGTATCGATTTTTATTATTATAAATCGAATTTATTTATTAAATAAAAATAAATTGCGGAGTTGCAAGAGAGAGAATACATGGAGCCTAGACCATTAATGTGCATCCCTATTTTTTGGCCCCGATTTATTACAACGTAATGTCTAATCTAAATTCTATGCTAATACATTTAATCTAACTCTATGCTGAGAAAATGGCAACATGTTTCAATATTTCAGTTCACAAGACTACCTTTCTTTTATACTTAAATGTTGATTCTATTCTGTTTCTATTGTTGATAATTTGAAAACATCGAGTCTGAAGAAGTAGATGTGTGTATGTCTTCTGGAACAGAATCACCATTCCCCGATGCACTTGTAATGAGAAAATGCAATGCGATAAAAAGCTTCACCAAGTTTATTTGTTCGAAGAGCCACCTATAAGATGCACTTCTTTTTTTGACACCAAAAATTTTAAGTAAATTTCGTCTTCGTTGTAGTCTTGTCCAACAAAATTGTGATCTTGAGTAAAAAATTTAGACTCGCTTTTTCAAAAAAACGCATTTTTTTTAATTGAACAAATAATAGAGTCTTATTTAAATAAAACAGATAATACTGATACGAATAATCTGAAATTAATAATACGTACACCCAAATTTACCTGTATTAATGATAAACCAATAAGATCTTTAATAATTGTACGTATAGGTGAACCATAGCTTCCAAAAGTCTTAATGGTGCTTTAAACGTAAGCACATATGTTATATTATTAAAATTTAAACATGCCAATAATATGGAGGTGGCAAAAAGTTTGCTTGGTGGAATAACTGATTCTACTAATAAAACAAGAGCCTTTTCCATGTTTGGCTTGACTTGGGGTATTGGCTGTATAAGTATGTACAAGAAATATTGGTAATTTGAATGTGAAATTTTTTTATGCCAACATTTAATTTCTTATCTTAATCTATTTTATTATGAATATAACGATAAGTCGGTAAGTTCATATTAGCATAAGGAAGCTCAATATTTTTCAATCTCTAACGTTTCTATATAATTTTTAGGACCAACCACTGGTGGATATTTGTCGCATTCTGCTGACCATTTTCGAGTATTTTTGATAATGATTTTTGGAGATATTATCTGCCGTGTCTTGTTGCGTCATAAGTTTCATCTATAGGACTTGTCTGTGGATATTTCATGTTACCTGAAACGTGTAATATCGATCAAAAATCTGAATACAAGCCTGAGAGTGAACCGTTACTTTACACAAAATATAAAAATAGCTTGGATGATATTGGAGCTTCATCTTTTTATGGAATTAGTTCTCTCAATGGTAACAGAGAAACACATGTTACTGACACCTCTCTCGTCTCCTATGAAATGTTAGCTCTTTCAATAATATATAACGAAGTATATATCATATATGCAGTAACTTGAGTTTTCAATGGTGACCTTGGTTATCGATCTCAAGACCTTGCACTCAGTTTGGCAATTATGGATTTCGTGACATTATTTTAGCATTTTATAATTTTACCGTCACTAAATAAAAGAGTTAATCCCAAACAATTGTTTCGTATTACATGTTTCTTTACATTCCTGTTTACATGATATTTCCATTAAATATAATAAACACTCTAAAATAAATATTCAATTCCTATCTTGAACCTGAAAAAAAGATGTTGTCATGTGTCCTGATCAGGAAAATTTAATGAGTGAACGTATAATTTGGTGTATACTACTGGGAACATTCTCTGTTCATTTCTTCTTGAATGTTGTTGGATATACAAGTGTTACGCTTTTGGTATGTAAATACTAATTATCTGAAAAATGCATCTATATAATGAAATATTTCAAATTTAACAGATTACAAATGCTATTTTACAAGAGATTCTTGGCACTGTAAATGGAATAGGACAAACAATAACATCTCTTTCTTAAGCTATTGGACCTGCGTTAGGAGGAACTCTTTGGACTTGGTCTTTGAATAATAATCTCAGATTCATCATTTTATCTTCATTGTGATGAGTGTAATAGTGTTTATTGGATGACTCCAGAGTTATATGGTGCATAACATCTAAAGTCATCAAACGTTTGTATTTTACAAAATGTATAAACATCTTTACAAAGAAGTAAATGCAAAATTTAATCCGTGAATATGATAGAATAGGCCCTTTCTGAGCATATTCACGGATTAAATTTTATATTTACTTCTTAGTAAATATGTTTATACATTTTGTAAAATACAAACGTTTGATGACTTTAGAGGTTATGCACCATAGGATACCACACAGGTTATTCGATACTAGAAAATTGTTATTGAATAAAATTACACAACAATTTATCAGTAGTATCATTATACAGTGCAGGACACTTAAAGACACCAATAAAATTAGTCATCTTTAAAGCAAAGGATCTTTATACAAAGATTATACAAAAAAAAGGGGGCCGATATTTTGTAGCTAGACCTATTTACTACAAAATAGCGGCCTCCTTTTTTTTTGTATAATCTTTGTATAAAGATCCTTTGCTTTAAAGATGACTAATTTTATTGGCGTCTTTAAGTGTCCTGCACTGTAGCTTTAAATTTTTCAGTTCTTTTCTTCAGGCATTCTTCGAGAGTATTAATTATTGAATTCTAAATTTTAGATAGACGCGATTTATTTGTGTTCAAAATATTAAAGATTGTATTATGTACACTGACCTATGATAAATCACAGTGCATTATTAGCAAAATTTTCAATTTAAAAAGTATTTATAGTTTTTTTTTATTTAAGCTAAATTTTACTTAACAACAATATTTAAAAAATATATGAATAGAGAAAGAAAAAGTTATAGAATAATATTCGTCAAAAAAAATGTTAATAGTTTAATAATGTGTATGTGATCCTTTAGCTTTAATAACAGCTGCAACTCGTCGCAGCATACTGGAAATTAAATTGCGTACAACATCCAAAGGCACTTTTTGCCATTCTTCCTTCAATGCATCAATTAAATTCTTTCTGGAGGTCGAAAGAAGCTCTCTTTTCTAATTTGGCGATCTAAATGATCCCATATATGCTCAATTGGGTTTAAATCAGGACTTCGGGCAGTCCGTGTGTTTGCATCCACCAACGACTATAATATGAAGTATGACAGGAAGCACCATCCTGCTGGAAAGTTGTATATGAATGATTATTCATCCAAGGAACCAAATATTTGGAAAGAATATCAATATAACCGTCAGAATCGAGATTGTTATTAATCTCTACCAAAGATCCAACGCCATCCCATCCAATACATCACCAAAACATTACCGACAATTCACACAACTTTCCAAGTTTTTTTTCAAAGGATTTTTGCCATACTCTTGTACACCCATTGGAATGGAAAAGGGAAAATCGTGACTCGTCTGACCATACAATTTGGTGTCATTCATTATTCCAGTTTTTCTTTTCTTTGCACCATTGTAAACGCTTTTTTTATGTTGAGTAGTTAAAAGAGGTTTAAGGCTTGCATAGTATGATTCAAATGACAATAATTTCATATAATTACGAGTGATATTAAAGTGAATGAGTTATTAGTTGATTGGTAATTTTAATGAGTGATGCTTTGCGATCTTTTTTTTACAATACATTTTAAACTTCATTGATCACGTTCTGATAAATTTTTTGCTCATCCAGTTCATTTTACAGGATGCGGAGAACCTGTTTTCTTAAATCGATTAATTGTATCACATACTGTTTGCTTTGGAATAGTGAGGGTAGCGGAAGAGGCAATAGCTGAAGCATTGCTCTCCACATGATATGCACCAATTATTTGTTCACGAAGTTCTAAGGATAATTCATTTCTTGGTAAGAACATTATGAATAGAAAGAAGGGTGAATAGAGTGTTTTTATATACAAATAAAAGATCAAAACAATGTAAAAATCAGAACAAAAGAGAAAATAAAAACATTATTCGATAAATAATAATGCATATGCACAATGATTTATCATAGGTCAGTATATCGATATTACTTGAAGGTCACGATTTAGGGAAACATTAATAATTTTTTTTGTTAGTCTAAAGAAATGATGTGATTATGGTTTGAATATATAAAAATATCAAACTGTTTTGCCTTAAATCTTGTTCTGGAAAATCCGGCACAATGAAGTCGAAGCCGAGCCACGCGAACAACTACGACTTGAATAGGGAAAAGTATTAAAGATGTTGACTATATCATTTGTTTTGTCCACCAATTCACAATCCAGCTCCTACGTTGGCTCTCAGGGTAGCAAGCCTGACTGAAATATTAGAGCGTAAGGCTGTCTAGGTCAAATCGTTTCTTTCCTGCCTTGATTGGTGATTCTGATGGAAGAAGCTCTCCCGTTGGAATCACAGTAAACTCTCCTTAGATGCAACCTCTATAAATACACGCATTAATGTCCCAAATTTATAAGAGCTTAAACATATACTCTGTAAATGCAATTTTTCTCGATACTTGAGAGTTGATGATACCATGTTTAGCAGTAACGCGTTTTTTCCAATAGTCTATACAATCACACCCTGTATCACCTTGAATGTCGGATAGAGTTTGTTGAGTAGTAAGTGGAATTGTTAAAAATGTCACAAGCTTACATAAAGAACACGTTGAAAAAAGCAAGAGAAGCCATTCAAGTAAAGAACTACGAAGAAGTAGTTGTTTGTTGTGAAAATGTTACTCATTATGAACCGGAAAACTATAACGCGTAGGTTGCTACTTTCATATTGATTGCATTTCGCCATTCGAATTCAACTATGAACTTGGCTTGACCAATTTTTCGAAATTTCCAAAACAAAAAATGTCAAATAGTTATGTCTTTCTTGGAGTCGCTTATTTGAATCTTAATAGGCTTGAAGAGAGCGAGCAAAGTTACCGAAAAGCTATTGAAATTGATGCTACGAAACCTCTTGCTTGGGAGGTATGTCTTGTGATGTCTTCCCATTAGTTAATTCGTAGCTACCTTCAAGGCTATTTTTGTAAAATTAACTAGTAAGTTTGGTTAATTTATAGTATCTATTGATTTTTTGGTATAATAAAGTAGTCTGATTTTTTATGTCTTCATGTTTTGCTTTTTAACATTATGTATTGATTATATTCATTTGTGCATTCCATCAAGATCCCATTCATCAAATTATAATGATTTTTATGCAAAGTCTAAGTAATAATTAGTCTTTTCGATATAGGGACTTGAAAAGTTTTATGAGAAACAAAAAAATTGGGAAAAATATGAAGAGACATTGGATCTGATTCTACAACGACATATCGAAAGGTAATTGATTGGTCATAAATCTTTAACGTGAATTTATTTTCGATAGACGATTCACGAGTTTTTCTCTTTGAAGCCGAGATTCTAAGAAAGTACTCGAAACAATAAACAAACTAACTGATCTACACAAAACAAAAGAAAGAAACCGACGAAAGGTATAAATCAAAATTTAATGTATGAATCATTAAAAAAATAATAACATCTCCCTTATATCTTTTTGCTTTTTATCAATTAGCTCGTCACCGTCCTCAAGAACTTTTTACCACAAAGTAAAGCCTACGACCTAATCAAAACTTCAGACGGCGTTCCAACTCCAATCCAAGTCATGTGCGAAATTGCAGAATTGCTTGAACGCGAGGAAACTGAATTTTTAAAGCGAGAAGTCGAGACGCGTCGACAGCGGTTGAATGCTGGCCCGTTGGCTACTATTAAGACACAAGTGCAGAATGAAATTTATTTGAATTCCGAGGTATTATTAGTATTTTTAATTTATCGAATTACCTATATTACAAGTTATTTGTTTTTTTTTTGGATAGCTTCTGAGAATCTAGCATTACTTTTTTTTTAGTTGGAAGAAATTTATGAAAATTTGATAGAGGCTGCGAAATCGGAAATAGAAGAATGCAGTGTTGACTTAAAGGAGTTATCGATAAAGTTTCTTAATCATTTGCAAAAGAAACTTGCAGCTGTTCCTAAAGATAGGAAGAAACAGGTTAATATTGCCATCTTTGATGATGATGATAAACATTATTATAACAGCATAATTTAATAATGTCTTTGCACGAATATAAATTTGTTGGTTCCCAGCTAAGCGAAAAACTTCATTGTATGGCACGACAATTATTTGCCCAAAAGTGTACATTCGCTCTACCTTACGAAATATTAATCGAAAGTACAAATGCTGGATCTCTGGGTATTATTATTATTATTCTTCTTCTTATATTGAGGTATATTAACGACTTGGATTTTGCTAGACGTTAATTAAATTTATTATTGTAGACGACTACAACATATCTTTACTGCGTCAATACTCGGAACAGTTTCCCGATACTGCACTTTCTAAAAGCATCCAAGGATATTTACGATATAAGGATGGCGATTCTGTAGATGAAATAATTGTACTTTTTAATGTAAAAATTAAATTGAATTATCTACTTATCAATTAAACCATAAATTGAAGTCTTATTGACATAGAATTAATTTAGGATGGTCTTGGGCCTGCTTTGACGTTCCTATTTACCTATCTCGCCTTAAGTTGGATACATTACGATTCAAAAGATTATGAGAATGCTCTTGGATACGCGCTATCAGGATGTGATTTGGCGACACAAAAGGCTCAAGAAATGTGTCTGATTCTAGATCGGTTTGTATTGAAAATTCGTTTTTTTAATTACGTTTCAAAAAATAAATATCGAATTCTTTTGGTAGATATGAACGCTCTTTAGAACTTATTATCGCTGATTGTTATTTCAATATCGGCGGAAAATATTATACAGACGCGTCACGATACTATCGGAAAATATTGGAAAAAGATCCGGATAATTTGTTGGCGCTTGAGGTATTTAATTAATTAAGTAGTATAACCTTATCAACTTAAATCTAAAATGATGGTTTTTTTTAAAAAGGGCTATGGAATTGTACTCTCTGCCCAAAAACAATACAACAAAGCAATGGAAATTCTTGAAAGAGCACAACAACTCGATCCAAACAGTCTTTCGATTCAGAGTGAAATCGGATGGGTCCACTTCCTGCTTGGAAATATTGAAGAAGCTAAAAGGATTTGTTTAGCAGTTATTGAACTCTCTGATAATAGTCCACTATACTTCTATAGATTAGGACGAATTTATTGGGCAATGGACGGTTAGTTACTTCGAACATTTTTTTTTTAGCTTGAAAAATTTGCTAATCTGTGAACTATTATGACAGGCGAATACAGAAGCAACAAAGAATACGCATACTCTCAATTAATTCGCGCTGTCCAAATTGACGCACACTTTGCCGGAGCTTTTACATATCTCGGACACCATTACCGTCTTGTTGGAGACAATATTCGTGCCAAAAAATGTTATCAGAAAGCTTTTTCACTTGACACGAGTGACGAAGAAGCTGCCTTGTATTTGAGTGAATATTATCAATCTGAGAATGATAATGTATTAGCGGAAGCGGTGTATCGTACAATCATCCAGTCAAATCCGAGAGCTGGTTGGGCTTGGAAACGATTGGGATTTCATGAGTTGGTAATAATTTTGTTTTTTATGAATATTATTATAGTCATTAATTAACCTTCCATGTCAATTATTCAACAATAAGGCGAATAATAACTATACAGATGCAATTACAGCATTCCAAACAGCTTTGAGAACTAACACTAAGGATATCCAATGCTGGGAAGGTCTAGCAGAAGCATACCGCCAAGAAGGAAAATACACCGCTTCTCTCAAAGCATTTACTAGAGCAACGGAGCTCGACCCCTCTTCTATTTTCGCAAACTATCAAATTGCTGCAGTAAAGCAAAAACTAGGGTTTTTCACCGAAGCAATAGAACACTACAAAATCACCATAGACAAAGCCAAAGAAAAAGGCGAGCCGGATCATTTTCCATCGTTGAAAAGTTGTGGTGATAGTTATTTGGCACTTGTAAGAGAGTATTTTCAAACGGGATTTTATGGTCGTGCTGCCGATTCGATAGCTGATGGCTTGAAAATGGTGGTGCGTGCTATTCAGATGCATCCGGAGACGCAGTGTTTGTGGAAGTTAGTTGGTGATTTGTGTATGGAAGCTCGTTTTATACCAAATCATTTGCATTTGATTCCTTTGAGCACTTTGCGGAGTGTTATTGAGAATCTAGATCCGTTTGATGTCAATAAAAAACTGAGATTCCCTGATGAGATTGATAGTATTGCAATTAGAGGCATTACAGAAGAGGAGGGATCCGTCATTGACATTTACGCCGCAACTTTAACTTGCTCATGCATATCCTACAAATACGCTATCATATTGAGTGGCAATGATTTCAACATTGCGCCTTCATATTGGTACGATCTGGCTATAGTATATTATAAATTATATGAACATGTATTCAAATTTAATCAAGATATAGAAACATCTTCGTCCTATCTGAGCGTTGCTATTCGTTGTATCAAAATTGCACTAAGATTAGAGCCTGCAAATTCCACGTTTTGGAATACTTTGGGCGTAATTACTTTGACTACAAATACTAAAATAAGTCAACATGCGTTCATAAAGGCAATCGAGTATTCACAAAAGGTGCAGTATAGCATTATATTATTACAAGTAAAGTCCACTTTAACGAAAATTTTCTATATCTGATGCGTAAGTGCACTTCATTGAAGCTGATTGCTGTGTATTGCCAGTTTACCAGATATTGATTACGAATAATTTTATAAATCCAAATTATTAATCTGATTGTATATACATGATTTTTTTTGTGATTAGGATCCCGTGCCATGGACAAATATCGGATTCTTATATTTGATGAATTCGAATCTTGAACTTGCAAATAAAGCGTTTTCAACAGCACAGACGATTGATCCAGATTTTGTTCCTGCGTGGGCTGGGCAAGCTTATGTTGCAAATATATGGGGCAGTGAAGAAGCATTGGAGTTGTTTGAGCATTCTTTTATTATTAGTGGTGGAACTTATTTGGTAAATTTGTATTAGATTGCCTATGTGATTTTATTTCATGTATTGACTATGATTTTCTCGTTTTGCAGCCTGAAGCCAATTACAGCTACGCATATAAGTGCTTCCAGACCCACTTATCAGACACGTCAAATAGCGATTCGTTACACTCACCATCTTTTGCATTGCAAAAATTAATCGAGCTAAACCCCGACGACGCAACTGCACTAAATCTATTAGGTCTAATCTTAGAAAGACTCGACCAACCCATGACAGCATCTGAAGCATTCACCCGCGCAATACAATCGCTCGAAAATTCCATGCAAACTCAAAAAACAGAAAACATCGCTATTTCCACAAAAAATTTAGCGTCAGCACAAACTAATTTAGCAAGAGTTTTATGCGCGATAGGTGATTTCAGTGGATCAATAAATGCTTATTTGATTGCATTAAAATTAATTGGTGAAGAAGAAGAAGGAGAAGATAAAAGTAGCACGTCGTTTCGAATATACAATCAATTGGGTGCAGGACTTTCTTATTATTTTGACAATCAGCTGGAAAGTTCTTTAAATATGTTTGAAATGGCGTTGAATGGGACGGAAGAGGGAAGTGGAGTCGAAGAGATGCGAAGGGATGTTATTGTGTTGTTATCGCAGGTGCTTTGGGCGTTGCAAGGGGAAGAGCGATGGAATTTGGCAAAAGAGGAGTTGTTTAGATGGTTTGTAAATTCTTTCATGCATTCATAGTTACTCCGTTTTATCTCTCGAAAATCTTAACATTCCTATTATACCATTTTAGCATATCACAAAATCCGAGTCATCTTCCCGCGATATTTGGACTATGTGCTATCGGGTTACTTCAGAATGACGAAACTCTAGCAACAGCTGCATTGCAGGAGATGAAGAAGTTACCGTTACATATTGCTGGCGAGTTTTTTTTTTGAGATTTACTATAACTATAAATGTTTGGCAAGCTTAACTTATGTGTTTTATTAAAGAGCAGATGAACTTGACCGAGATCATGATATCGATTTTTTAACAAGTCGCTATCACTTGTTACTGGTAACAATCATTAAATCAACTGTTTTCTCTTTATTATTAATCCCGTAACACACATTAACGGATTAACTTTATCTAATTCGTATAGGATTCGCCAAAAGAATCAACTCTATCACTAGTCAAGTCTGTACACGCAACCCCAACAAATCTACAAACATGGATACATCTCACAAACCATCTAATCAGCACTGCATCCTCCAGCTCAGCAGTTTCGTCCGCGCGAGCTTCACTAAAACTTTTGGCTGTCTCGGCATCTTCAAATAGAGTCATCAGCACACTACATAATGCCAAACTTCATCAAAATCTCACAGCGGCTTTATTATTGAAAACTAATGAAAACGATGAAAAATTAAAGGAAGAAGAGGAGGAAAAGAGAATTGAATATGTCACAGAAGCTTTCTATGAAGCTCAGCGTGCTATTATAATGGCGCCTTGGGATTTGGGTGCGTGGTCTTTACTCGGGGTTGCAAATCGTACTTATCAATATGCGTTATTGTCGCATCAATAAATTGTAAAGGTAGTATTGGAAGGCTATTAATTTAATATATAAAATATCGTTATGATTCCAAGTATACATGTGGTATATAGCGATAGACCATTCCGTGATCTCTGATCTCGATCTCGATCTCAGATCGCGTAACTTAAAGACGCGTTTTTATATTTAACCACGTGTATTTACATATAGAATCTAGCATAACTGTTGTTGGAGGCATTAAATTCATTAGCAAGGATCATTTCAGAGTGTTTGGATAAAATAGAAAGATGATTGAAAGCAAAAGGTTTAGAGAAATTTTGCATTTATATTCGCTAGTAAACTTCATTGATAGAACCCATCCATCTTATGCAAGTTAATATAGAACCACAATAAAATGCTTTTCCTACCAAAGAAAGTTTGATGTCTTGCAATTTTTTCATAAGCTTTTCATATATACATGTATATTGGAGTGTAATAACAACAATTGTGGCGGATTAAAATGAAATCAGATTAAAACGAAACAGAGTGGGATGTTTAAGTAATCATAGGTTAATATGTTACCGATTTTAATGCTATACTACTATATGCTCTAACCTAACCCTAACCCTTCTCTGAAATTTTTTATCCCATAAAATTTTATTTTAACATAATCTGATTTCATTTCAATCTGGTTTTAACGATAATGGAATAAATGTGGTACAGATCGGAAAATAGGTGAGGTCGGAAATTGGAAATTGGTCGTTAAATAAATAAATAAACCTATGACACCATGTAGTAAATAGACCTTGCAAAACATTGCTTCTTAGTAGTATTTTCCTTTATACCAATAATTATTTCACTCCTCATTCTCCCCCTCGTGCAGACTAACCACATCCTTTCCTTGTTGTTTTCAAAGAGTAATATTTGATGTAATGAACGAACCATCGAGAGCCCTGGGATCTGATACTGTAAGCTCCTTACTTTGAACAATGTGAACTTTAGAACTCATTTAGTTACTAACAATTTATTTCAATAGCGTGAAAATGGACCCGATGGACGTATGCCCCAACACGACGTCCCTTACTCACATCATAAGACTAATCCTTTAACAGATCTCATTGAGACGGAAAAACAATTTGTTGAGGATTTAAAGTGTTTGTTACAGGCATGTTAATTGGTTTTTTTTACGCTCGTTAAGTAAATAATAAACAAAAGAATCTTGTTTATAAAGAAATGCTTGAAATTAAACTTTTTGGTTTTTTTTAACTTGATAGCGAGTAACCGCCTGTTGGCGTCCAGATGAACTTCCGCCCGCGGAACTAGACACAATGTTCCGTAATATTGAAGAAATATACCGACAAAATAAACGATTTTGGACGGTTAGTATGTTGTATGTGAGAAGATTATGAAATGGTAGTTTAGCTGGCTTTGCCTAATATTTTCATCAAGATATATATATATATATTTATATATCTCATTAAACTAAATTGAAATCCAAATAGAAACTTTACAAAATATCAAAGAGTCCTGAATCTGCTAAAGATTTAGGCGACACCTTGATGATTTGGGTAAGTAGATTTTCGAACTCAGAGATAAGTTCTCTAACTTTAACTTTACTAACTAAAACCAATATTTTAATAGGTAGACGATATGGAAGCTCCATACACGCAATATTGTCAGCATTTTATAAAGGGATTTGATAGTTGGCCAATGATTGAAGAACATGAAACATTACAACAAACTCTTATTGTATGTACTAGCCGTGTAGTTTCTACTTTTATAAGCACTTTATTAATTTGCATTATGGCATGATATCAACAGAGGATAGCAGCGGAACGTAATCGACCCGTATCTCTTGATTTTTTTTTCGAAATGCCCCTTACGAGGTTACAGTATTATAAAAAACTATATATGGTATGTAAATTTTTTTATAGTCTCATACTAATGTTTCAATAACGATAACGATATTTACCAACGTATTCACAAACGTGCATATAAAATAGCGTCTCTTAAAAAGCACAGCACCAGGACGTTCCGACCATCAACTCCTATTCTCGGCCAACCAACGCCTCGACATCCTCATCGACATGGAAAGACAAGCAAGAACCCATATACAATCAGGACCAGCCATTCTTGCGTCATTGCCACTGAAACAACCTCAGCATGATGCGATATCAATACCACCTTCAACACCGCAACAACCACCTGTCTCTCCTGGTTTTCCTCGTAACAATAATTTCCCTTCTTCATCGCCTGGTTATTCGTTACATCCAGAACTGAATTCCGAATTTCCAAGTCGAATTAATTGGAATTATGGATTAGAAGAACTTGAGGAGCAGCTTGATATGTCTACTGTTATTGATCTTTTTACTAAACAGCCAAAGGTATAGCATTTTAACTAGCTACTCAGCGAATCAGCAATTTATGTAATTCGATTAGTCAATCTCTTAAAATTACTATTACATTAGAAAGTCAAAATCTCTCTTCGTCCAAAAAGTCTTCCTTTCAAAAGGGACATTCGCCTGCACGACAACTTCGTCGTGATAATTCAGTACGCTGATGGCTCGGTCATGCATAAAGCTCACATGTTTCTATTGACTGATCTCTTGATGATTTGTCGTGTGCTCACCCCGGAAGAGAAGCAGCGTATGCCACATATTGAATTTTTGCTTTTGTATCCGCCGTTAAGTGGAAAACATTTAGCTGTTCGGGATTTGAATGATACTAAAGATGGTACAAAGTCTTTTTGCATCTGTATTTTCTGGTTTTTTTTTATTCAAAATATTTAAGATATAATCTGGCTTAGATCTTTTGGAATTGTTTGTTATGAAACGAGAAAAAATTATTCTTCGTGCCGAGTCAAAAATTGTGAAGGATCGGTGGTTCCAGGGATTTAACGAGATTATTGATTTTGCTACCAAAGGTATTTAGTATGAATAGCAATAGTCAATCTCTTTTACATAGTGCTTTGCTTATTAAATTATTAAATCATAGCAAGTGTCAAACCAAGAGTCAATACGGACCCTCGCTCCTTGAGTCAAGACCCTGCTCGTACTTCCCCATTATCAGCAAATGACACGAAACGTAGCCCAAAGAGCCCAATTTCACCTTATGTCATGAGAGATAACAGCAATGATGGTGGTCAATTGCTAACTCCTCCGACTGCTCAACATCAATTGTCGCAACCATCGTCGCCCGTATCCTCAGAAAGAAAAATTTTCCCGTCGAATAGTGATCAAAATATGAACTCTCCTGATTCACGTTCACGTTTATCACCTCCAGGATTAGCTATGAATAATAACTTTAATAATTCTACGGTGTATCCAAACAGCCTGCCCAACACAAACAATCCACCAAATTTACATTTTCAACAGCGATCCAGAACTCCGGATCCACCACGTAATGCCGGCGGGCAATATCCCGGGGACTATAAACCTTATCCACCCGAATCATCATCTCGTCGTAGTGACCCAACAGCCGCAGAAGTTCACATGTCGCCAAATCGTCAAAGATCAAACTCCAATAGCTCTCTTGCGTCCGTTTCTAGTGTAGCAGCAACTCGCGAGATCCTTTACAAAACACCACCATGTAAAGTTTTTATATGGAAAGAGTCTACGTGGAAACCGTTGACGACAAGAGAAAATTGTATTATAGAAATTAGATTGACCACGACGGGTAAATGTTGTTGGGCTATATTATTAGAAAAAAGTAGACGCATGGTTCTTAATGCATGGATCCTCCCGTCGACAACTTTACGTCGAGAGACGCCGACTGACTTCAGTATATCTTGTGAAATGGGTCAGGGCAAAGAATATTATCGAATTAGTACGCCACATCCTGTCGAAGCTGATCGTTGTATGCAAAATATCAAGGGGAATGAACAAAATCTATCACCACAATCACAATCACCAAGAGTTCAATTTCCGCCGCAACAACAGCAAAATCTATCACCACAATCACAATCACCAAGAGTTCAATTTCCGCCGCAACAACAACAAAATCTATCACCACAATCACAATCACCAAGAGTTCAATTTCCGCCGCAACAACAACAAAATCAATCACCACAATCACAATCAATAAGATTTCAACTTCCGCCGCAACTTAAACAACAATTACCAGCACAACCACAAAATGTTCCAAGGTTAGTTGTTCCCGTCCAACCCCAAACACCCCGTTCCTCCTCCCGTTCCGCCTCACTAGCACAAGAAACCGCGCATGAGATCGTGGCAACAGTCACAAAAATAATGGAAACAAAATGTCGTGTATTCCTACAGAACGATCACGGTGTATGGACAAATCTCAATTGGGGCCACATGAAATTATCAATTGAGACGCCGGCACATCGTAAACGAATTGTGATCAGTTCTGATAAACAACAGACGAAAATTATTGATGCTATTGTGTGGGAAGATGGAGTCGAACGTGTGGGCAAAACTGGGGTTGCGATAACATTGGCGAATATGGGAATTGTGTACATGCTTCAGATGAAAGAGGAAAAGACTGCAATAAAGGCATTTGAGTTGATGAAAGAGAAGAAGGTCAAGTCGTGATTATTGACACGACAAAAAATAGATTATTCACAAAAAATTTAGGTATGCTCGCATGCATTATCATTTATCGACATCAACAATTTTGTACATAGAATCAATCAATTACCACCTTTAGTTCATGTTTATCCATTTATCCATTTATTTATGTCATTCATTTATTATGATGCTCAAAGACATTTTTATTTATTTAGAGTTTACATATATATAATTTTTATAGAATTATATTATTAACAAGAACTATCGTTATACTAATAGTATTATTTGCATTTGTTAACAATATATATTTTGAATAAATTAACTTTTTGTATAGACAGTTTTATGGATTTTATGAATAAAACAACGGAACAAATAATAGTATAATTTCACTAACAAACTATGTCATATGGAGCAAACTTATTTTTCTATTAATAAATACTATTACGACTACCAATTTAGCTGTTAACATTATTCCGATTCGGCATTTTGTGTAGTTATTTATCCTGTCAGTTAAAGAGGAAAAAAAGTCAATGAAACGTAATCCCAATTCCAAACAAAAAAATCAAACAAAAATACCTCTTCCATAGGATCACTAGCTTCATTAGCAGCTGCCGTCTCTTTACTCTTCTCTGTCTCTTTACCCTTCTCTTTACGACTGGCGGCCCGATCCTTTCGTTCTAACAAATCCTTTCGATCCTTATCCAACTTCAATTTCGTAATGACAACTTTTGACGGGTGAATCCCGGTCGGGACACTCGTCCCGTTGACCTTTTCCTTGTTGATGCGCTCGATGTGGATCACCCAGCGTTTACGATACACTTGTGTGACTTTTCCATCGCGACCTTTGGCGCTGCCGCGTACTATGCGAACTTCGTCATCTTTGCGGATTGGGATTGAGCGGACCTTTTGGTTGTTTGATGTAATTGGAGATTTCGGTCCGATTTGAATCAACCAATTGATCGAATTTAGTGAAATAATTTAATTTTTTATAATAAAGATAGTAAACTCACATTATATTTGTCTCGGAGCTCCTTGGACAATGCAGCACTCAGAATTTTTCTACGTACGGAAGACGGTGCTGAAAAGTGTGCTTTACGGCTCTTGCGTCTTGAAGAGCTCACGTCTTTTAATTTTTAATAACAAATGAATTTTCGCTTAATTGAATAATCAAGAATTAATGAAAAACGCTAATTCGATGAAAAATCCCATATCTCCCAAACCAAACCAAACCAAACCAAATTAAAATAAAATCTAAGGTTATCGTGAATATAATCATTAACATATGAAGCCTATCTCCGATAAAGTAAATTTTCTCTTTATCAAGCTAGAAACAACCAAACCGAGATAAATTTAACTTTCAGTACCTTTAGAGAATTTAGCCATGTGTTCTTAAAATCTTACGTGCCAAAACCAGAGACAAAAGCGTAAATTGTTTTTTTTTAAAGGAAACTAGTAGCAAAAATTTTTTTTCGAGTGACAAGTGACGTATGCAGGCACGTTTGTAGAAGTTCTATTTTTACAATAATCACGTGAAACTGATGGAGTTATTTTTTGCTTGGACAAAAAGTTAAAAAATCTGAAAGATGTCTATTTTCGTAAATTTCAATAAGCCAACTGGAGCTCTATTACTTCAAACAATAAACAGAACACGAATACCGCAAGCATTCACAGCCGTACTCCATTCCAAAAACCTTGAATTACTTGCAGTGCTCACTAAAACAGCAACCGCAAGTGCTAATAATATAAAAAAGAATATTGCGCTGGAAGAACACTCTAAAAGATACATTCATCTTCACCAACATCAGTCTTTACCGAGACATTTTTACACTTCAACTATACCGCATTTGCCAGAGTTCTCTACACAAAAAAGACACTGTTGGAAATGCGACTCGGAAATTGACTATAGTTCCTTGTACTGTAATAGAGATGGGTGTGGTGTTGTTCAACCGGGGTTACCGAATGATGTCACGTATTTTGACCTGTTTGGTATGGGTGTGTCCGGGCTAGGGGACAAGTATGTTTGTTTTTATTGAATTGAATGAATTAAACAAATCAGATATTAATTTTGTAATTGTTTTTTCTATTAGAAGGAGATTTTCGTATGATATTGATTTATCGCAGTTACGACGTAATTTCCTGTCATTTCAACAACGCATGCATCCAGACAGTTACTCGCGAAAAGGTCAAGTAAGTAATTGATAATTATGAATGTTTAACACCGTCATTTATATCATAAAAAATATTGAATTTCCATCATGTGTACAAGTAAACACACATGCACATATAAAAATAGCAAAAATGAAAATAAATGACTTGTTTTTACAACAGTAGCGTAAAAAACACCACCAAAAACCTAAAAAAAATACCTCTATAGCAAGAATACGCGTACGCCCATACTCAATCCTCAACAATCAATGAAGCTTATCAAGTATTACGTGACCCACTTGCCAGAGCCCAATACATGGTAATTAGTTTATTTTGTGTTTCTTGTTCAAGTGAGGTTCGGCGTATATAAAAATTATCTATATATACAATTCGCATAAAGCTTCGATTGAACGGTATCCTAGTGACCGAATCAGAATCGATCGAAGATCCAGAATTATTGATGCAAGTGATGGAAGCGCGTGAACGGCTTGAAGAGGCAACTAGTGAAGAAGAAGTAAAGATCATAACAGAGGAGAACGAAGGTAATAAAATGTTTTATATAACATTTCTTTTATTGTGATTTATATTTAAAATACTTATAATAATTATAATAATTATAGAAAGAATCAACGAAATAATAAGAGAAATATCACAAGCTTTCCAAAACAATGATTTGGATACTGCCAAAGAGTTAACTATCAGGCTACAGTATTGGTGTAACATTAGAAATGCGGCTGTGGATTGGGCGCCTGGAAAGCGCGTAGAACTTTTACATTAGCTGCAATAAGAATAAAAAGTCTGTTTGTATTTTGTCATAGAAGATTTTTATTATTAATTATTGTTATTTAGTGTTGTTTCTGATAAATTCTTTGTCTTTTTGCTTTTTGGTTTGTTGTTGATGACGATGAGAGATCCTCTTCAAAACTTCCTTTTGAATTCTTTGAAGGATTGTTATTATTATAGTTGTTATTGTAATTGTAGTTATTTCTTGGACCTATTCCTCCTCCTCGCGCTTCATTAAAATTATTTTTCTTATAGTTATCCTGAGAACGATAGCTATTCTGATAGTGATGGTTATCCTGATAATTGTTACCATTACTATTACTACCATAATTTCTCTTACTAACTCTATTATTACCGCTGGTAATATTACTGTTAGTATTACTAACACTATTATTACTGCTGGTAATATTACTCTTACTACTGCTAGTAAGATTACTGCTGGTAATATTACTCTTACTACTGCTAGTAAGATTACTGCTAGTATTATTACGCTTATTAGGTTTATTGTTCTTCATGTCCTGAAATTTAGGCGCATTAAATAGACTACTTGTCAAAGCTTCATCATAAAATTTAATGATATTTCCTTCATAAGGATGCTGATCGTCTGTAAAAATGAACAATCGACCTAATCGAACGTTACGTAGTCGGTTCTTTGGTAGCATTCCAGAGACAGCTTTCCGAATAATCTTAATTAAGCGTTTTTCTATTAATATTTAACAATGATAAATTGGGTAAAAGGTAAAATAATAATGTAACAAAAAAACCTCTGTCGGTTTAGTCTCCATCATTCGTTTATATGGAATCTCTTTAAGACCACCCGGATACCCAGTATGATGTCGATACAATTTTTGTTCGGCTTTGCGTCCTGTCACTTTTATTTCTTTGGCGTTTACTACGACCACGTAGTCTCCACAATCAGCTATGCATACATTCAATGTAATCAATTAAATTTAGTTCGGTTGACAAATTCTTATTCAATTCGATTAGTGAGTAATTTATTATCAATTCATTGGTACGTACAAGCAGGATCAAATATCGGTTTATGCTTCCCCATTAAAGTAATCGCGATATTTGTCGACATTCTTCCGAGTATTCTGTCTCGCGCATCTACTAAGTGCCACGCTCGCACGTAGGCAAGTGCTGTCTTTTAAAAGCATTTAATTATTTATAAATTACCAAAAATGACGAATAATGCAATCGGTTTTGGATTGGTTAAGAGAGAAGTATATTACTCTGCCAACTGCTTGAGACATTTTTACAAAACTACAAAAGGTCGACCGCTACTATTATAACAATTTATGATTTCTAGATCACATTATAACTTGGTGTAACCTTGAGTTCTATCCAGATTCGGTGATTTTGATAAACCGTTATTTTGCACCTTTAAAACATTGTTAGAAAATCAAAGTAGCGCGTATGTATTTTTATGTATTGGGTTAAAACTGGTGTTACGTGAAGGCGTAACGCAATATGTATAGATGTATTGAATCTTTAATATGTATATATATTTGTTCCATGATATTATTATTCCCATATAAATAACAAACACTGTATAATTTATTACATGTACATTGATAAATATAATTATTATGTTATTGATTTTAATTAACACGCATATATTATATTGTCCCACTCAGAACTCTTAACTTTGCCCTTCAATCTTAGAATGATTGCATCTAATAAATATAAGAATTAATTAATCATGATACTATCTATATTTATCATATATAAAATAAAACAGATATTTAATAAAATAAAATTTTTACGTACCCAAGGAACATCAGTTGTCGAATATTTACTAGGGGGGCGTTGATAAGGAACAGGTACTCCATGTTGAACGAACCAATCGTCCAGATTATATCGTCCAGACTTGTTGAATTCTACTAAAGTATGCATGTTATTAAACAATGGAAACACGACACCCAATTCCCAATTAATTATTCTTAGTTGTTGTTGTCCGGTAGTTCGTGAATTTGTTATTTTTCCCCTGAAAAAATGAATTCTATTTTTATAAAAAGATATAAATACAAACGACAGATATAAATAAAGAATATTTACCATGCTGATTCAGTGAAATTGTGGCTTCTATTAAAAGTAACGCTTGAGTGAGTGATTTAAATAAAAATAGCCTTTTCTGATAATTGCGGATATTTATATACTTGCCCGCAATAAAACCAGCCAACTTTATCATTTGCTACATCTTCACTATCTCTTTCTTCATTTTTAGCTGCGAGGTTTTGATCGTTATCGTCTTTTTGGATTTTACGTGCAAGTATAAACTAGTGATGATGTACAAATAAATGATCGCATGATTGATTAATCAATCAATCAGGAACACTTTGATATTTATTGATTGCTATGGGTTTTTCCTACCTTTGAATGCATCAACGTCCTACTTCGTTCAGATATGCAATCTTTTAATAGGCTCTTTGGAAACGTGTCTTTATTATAATGCTTTCGTGAAAAGCATATCGTTGACGCGCCCTTTTTATTATAAAATAAAGATGTATCCGGTATTAATGAATAAACATGCTAACATAATCATGCATAAGTAAAATCAAAATAGAAATAATACCGCAGGTCCATCTTTTGACTCTCTGATGGTTGATTCTGTAGGAAACACAATAGATATTGGAGGCAGCGACGGCTCCTGTACAATTCCACTTTCTTTGTCTTTCTTTGTGATACGACGTCTGGGAGCGGGACCTGTTAGTGGATCCATGCCTCGTGCTGAACGATAAAATTCTTCCAGAAAACTACGAGTCAGTCCACCGAGTGAGGAAGTCTGATTAAATTAAACATATTATTATGATATAATTTTTTAGTGTGAAAATCTATAAATAAAACTACCTGACACTCAATTTCTACATTTTCCATTTCTCCGCATAACTCTTTAACGACTTGACCTAATTTCACATGTCCATGTTTTTTCATTTCTCCAAATCCTTGGTGTAGCCCAGACACAGAACCAACAATTTTTGCCTGCATAAATGAAAGATTAAGAGTGGCGGACGATAACGGGACGCGTAACATTAACAAAAAACTAACCTTCGCTTTACTAAAATCATAATGACGAAGTTTATCCGTGACTTGAATCAACACTCTATCCTGCGCACCTTTCTCACGCATCGCCAATACAAATGCTGATAAATCTTGCGCGAATTCGGGTTGTTGAGAAATATCGGACGCAGGCGTGTCAAGAAGCGGAAAATCTTGGACGAAAACAACGTTTTCCATTTGTTCCCAATCCATTGGGATTAAATTCGCGGATGTTATCACGACTCGCATCCAGTTATCGTAGTAGAGTAACATGAGTTTCGCGTGGAAACATCCAAAGTCTGAATTAAGCATCGGTGGATTCACAAGTATGATATTGTCGAATTTGGTTTTATACACACCAGGCTAATTTTTTTTAGAAAGTATTAGTGCTACTTTCGTGTGTTTTTTATTCAGTCAATCAATTATTCCTTACTTACCTTTTGTTCACTGTAATCGCGTTGCTTCGCCAATACTATATTTGCTTGACTCGGAAAGTTTTGTTGCACCCAATCAAGACTCACAACAAAGCACGATAGAAAAGCGCGTTTTAATTTAGACTTTGCATTAATAAAATGCCAATGCAGTTACGAATTAGATTTTCGAGCACATTTAATCAAGAAAAAACATCCGAAATAAAAGAAACGGGTTTCGCACAAAAAACACCCACCTTTTCAATAAGATCTTCAAATTTGACATAATCTCCTCGGAAATCAGGTATATAAGTCAACTTCAAGACACCGTTTGCATATTTTAAAGCTTATTGAATAAAAATTAGTGAATTTCTAAAAATATGCTGACATAGTCGGTCAGTCACACTACCATTATCTGAAACTTGAACGATTTGCCCATTCACGATTTTAGTTTTTTTATCGAAAGTAGGGACCAAAGAAGAATTAGCGCGTCGCTTTTCTGCACGTTCCAGTCTTTCTCTCTCCATTTCCTTTCTTTCGACTAAAAAGCTTGATAAACCTCCTAAACCAACACTGCTATTGTTTGATACAGAGGAAGAGGCGGAGGTGGAATCTTCTTGTTTATTATCAAAATCGAAGTTCTTTTGTAAGGAAACAGGACGCGGACGATTATATAATGCTTGCTCTTCTTCAGCTTCTTGCATTGCCAGATCGAGCGCTCTATTGCGTTCTTCAAGCTCCCGACGTGCTCTTGCTTTTTCAACTGGATCTATAATTTCTTCTACTGAGAGTGCCAAGGCTTTTCGTATATCTTCGACAGACATGAGTTTGTTGTTTTGTTTAAAGAAATCAGCAACTAGTTTATTATAGTATATACAGAAAAAATCCAAATGCTTAAGACGCGACAGTGATAATAGGCGATGATACACAACACTATTCATATTTATTAAGATTTGCACGGGATGTATTGCACAGGATGAACTGCATCGATCGATCATTTTATTACAAATGCTTGTATCGATATTTTAATGGAGAGAATAAGGTTTGAGTCATTTTATGAATGATCGAAACAAAACCCATACTTGTCAATAAGAAAAAAAATAAAATTGATTTTGCTTTTGTCAATACTGGAATAAGATCCAAAGTCATTATTATATTTCTAGCTAAATCACGACCAACCAAAAAATAATCAAATCTCTTGATTGATCGATCGATTAATTATCTTTTGACTACGAATACAAAGTAATGTCTATAAAATATTACCAAAAAAAAAAGAAAGCGTACAATAATAAATAAACAAAAATTATAAATTAACAAGAATAACCCAATTACCAATAAACAGCTGCTACTATTATAAGTTAAAAAAATTTTAACATAGTCGATTAATGAATACAAAATTACTTCTAAATTAGATAATAAAACTTTTGATTGATGATTAAATGATTGTTCGGGGTTGATGTTGAGAAAATGCGAGTCAGTGAAAGGATAACACTAATAACAAAAAAAAACAAAATGAATTCTATGCTCCCAAATTAAATGCCCAATTTGTTGATAATGAATAAAAGGAAATATATATATATAGAATCATATCTCTGTAAGCTTTATGTATAAAGAATGTGCGTTGATATGTGATATTGTGTGAGAATGTGTGTGTGTGAAGTTCGTGATAAAAGAGAGAGAGATTCAAGAATTTTTTATTTTTCAATGCTGAGCTTTTGATGAAGACGATGGTGAATGATCCTGATTAGAAGATGATTCTGTGCTCATATGTCGCCAGACATCTCTCGTTATCTTGTCACAGTCTAACCCTGATTTTCCGCCGCATCCAGATAAATTGATTACGAAATCTCCCTTGTGCCACGTGTACCGCTCGATATTTTTGACTTTTTTGTCACATGTGTTTGGTGGTAGTGAATTTAATGCTCGCTTTTAATAAAAAAAAATCATTTAATACATCAAATAGGAAATAATCAAAATAATGAATAAATAAATAAATAAATCAATACATACTAGTGGTACAAAAAACACCTTCTCCGCAACTTCGATCGCTTCATCATCAATCAATTTCTGCACCACACTTTCCTCATTATCATATTCCAAAAATTTCGGTCCATAAACTGTTCGCAGGAATTTTCTAGACCACGGCGAATTACGAATTAGAAAAGACCCAGTGTTTATACCGAAGCAGTCGTATCCTATGAGTAGTTGTCGATCGTCGTAGTGAGTCGAGTCGATGTAGCGAAGGATATTTGTGGTAATTGGGAATGAAGAGTTTGTGATCATAGCGGACTATAGGAAGACATAATGTATATATATATATCAATTTATTTATTCACTTGAATTGATCATAATTAAAAGTATCATTAAATCATTAATTACCGCATCAATCCACCACAGCCAATCCACAGACGGATACTCTTCCATCGTTTCAAGTAACGCTGGTATTTTTGCCCACGTCTATGTTATTAAGAACGATAAAATTTTACATTACGATACTTGTATCTTATACGAATAATTATCAAGATGAATCTGAATCAACACATACGGGTGCTCTCGCTTGTTCCTTCATATTCTTCACAACAAGCACATACTCAAATTTTTCCGCATATTTACGTTTATTCTCTATGGTCTCCTCTCTCGTCACGAGCGAAGATGTGTCATTCCTGTCCACTAATACTACAATGGCAACGCTAGGACCTAACCATGTGTTTATCCTGCTTTGATGAAATCGGTATGGTGGATGTGTAAGAAAGAACGCAGTGAATAATAGAAAGAGGAGCAGAATTGTCAAAACGAAAGGGATGCGTCGGCCAATTGCTGCCATTTTTATTAATTTATTATTATATTGTTGCGCCTTAATATTTTATATGTAAGTGCAAGATGTGTTTTGAATTTTATGTAGAATGAGCGGATGTGCGTTAAGTTGTGAGTGAAAGTGAGTGTGTGTGTGTGTGTGTGGAATATATGTATATGTACGTACGTTGTAAATATTTTTGTTTGGGTAAATTATTAGTGGTAGTAATAGTTTATTATTATTATTGTTGTTGTTATTGTTATTGTTATAAGAAAATAGAATGAAAAGGAACGAGAATTTACCACCACCACATTATGTTTATGATACATCAAAAAAAATTTGACATGTATAAACTTAATTAAATCTACACCCACGCGCATGAGATGCAGTGTTCGGTCGTGTGTTCTATAGAAAAAGATAAATTCGTTAAAGTGTGCAATATTTATGTCCAACCAAGTCAGACTCAAGAACGACGATAACGATAATGATCGGACACTACATTCCTTAACTAAAGAATCTGGTAAAGATCGTCAATCTATACACAAACCGCTCAGGTCACATAATTTTGTGCAAATTATTAAATTCTTAATTTGTTCTCCCTAAAATTTTAGTTAATAAATGTCACCGCCCTAATCAAATTGATTGGAAGCTTCCAAGAACAAAGGATTTGACTGTAACAATAAATATCACGTGTGTAATCCTAGATGAGATTATCGACCAACGTATTTTTAATTATACTTTTACGTATAATGAAAATTTTGATTATAATCTCCCATTATAATTATCACATTGTTAAAGTTATTATTTACTTCTTGATTGTTTTTCCATAAACCAATGTATCGATAGCCCGGCCGAAGCTAAAACAAAGCCCAAAAATACCGGCGAGGGGTTAAGCGGGCGACTTTTATACTCGGGATGAAATTGTGTGCCAGCATAGAATGGATGGTCTTTACGAGAAAGAAATTATTAGCATGAAATACTCGATAAATGTATCCGTTAACTTGCCCTTCGATTAAAAGAGTAAAATCATAGAATAACAATCACAATCGATACCTTTAAGCTCGAATATCTCCATTCGTTCGCCAGTCTCATTGCGTCCCACGAAAATCAACCCGGCATCTTCAAAATACTGAAGATACTCGATATTCAATTTGTATCGGTGATGATGGCGCTCTGATATGATTTTGATGTCTGATTGGGGATTATTTGAAATTTCGTATAATCGCCCTTTTGAGGATTCAAAATATTCATTTATGAACCACTTGTATGTATAATCGCTACACGATTTTGTTAGCATATTAGCATAAAAAAAAAACAAATACAAACTAATTTTTGACCAACATTCAGACACATCGAGGAAATTAGTGTGATGGAGTCCAAATACTTCGTTATCTTTGATAAAGATTTTGTGTGGCGCTGTTTTATCAAACTCTTCGGAATTTGCATCTTTATTAACAAATAATATTATTAAGAAAAAAACACGATATAGTTTATCGATCCGATTACAAAATGATTTACCGGTTAGACCACAAACATTACGCGCAAATTCTATGACAGATGCGAGAAATCCAAGAGAAATTCCTACGTATAAATTTTGAATAATAAAGATCAATATAAATACACTCAATGCACGATTGATTATGATAAAAAAACACACACCCACCTAGAAAAGGAATCCCACGTTCTCTTGCAGATCTCACGGCCATCAAAATACCATCAATTCCATAATGGGCAAATCCGTCCGGCACAAGAATACCATTAGCCGAGAATAAAGTCTCCCAAGCTTCACGATATTGGTCTGGTGTATTGATTTCATTGTTTGGTACCAAACGGGTTGCTTCAATCCACTATTTTGTCGTTACCATCACATTCATAGATAATAGATATAGTTATTTTTATTCGATATCAATTTGGTTATCCAATAAAATTATATATTAACCTTAAGTATTAATTTTCTCCCGCACGCTATTGAAGCATGTTCCAACGCTTGGGTAATAGAATGATGGAGATCGTTCTGATTCTTGAATTTACCGACTATAGCGATCGTCACAAATTTCGTGGCGTTATCGTAACTGTAATCGATAAAAATTTTTGTTTACCATCAATACTTAACACATGAGCTGCAGTTTCATCTTACATATACACAGTGAAAGTCGATATAACGGACTATTTTTCGAAACCAGCTATAAATAGCATTCCATAAATTTTGTATGTTATGGCAGGCACAGATGGGTCCTTTCACCGTGTATACTGAAATTATTGAAATATAACGAACTCTGAAACGATGTTTTTCCATCTTTCTAGAGATTCATTTTCAATTGCTAATCTTTTCGGATCAATATCGATTAGATCTAGTCGTAGGCGTCTCGTAAGATATTCTAAAACGCTTTCGCGTTCTAGTAGTAATGGTAGATGGTAGCTGGTAGGAACTGTGTATACAGGGATTACCTGTTACAATAGTAACATTAAATAAAAATTGATGGAAGTGACCTGAAACAGAAAGAAGAAACGAATATATAATCACACAAACTTTAGAAGGCTCGAAGCAAATCTTTTCACGAGTATCTTCATCCAGCTCGCCTGAGCAAATGCACGCAATCTGAACAAATAATAAATTACTTCCATGAATATCAAATTAATTTTCAAACATATAAGAATTTGTAATAATTACGATACCAAATCAGGAGTTATTCCATTTGTAATAAGCGATCGATGACTATCGGAAGCCGGCTTCGTGATAGAGGCGACGCTCGAATCAGGTAACGCGAGTAACGGCACAACATGTACAAATGCTACATTTTCGATTCCAACTTTGGTTTGGAATTCATCAATGGCTTCTAACCATGTTTGTGTATCTGGAAGATCAATTTCCGCGCCAAGCTACACTCAAATATTTGAGAAACGCGGTATTTTAATAAAAAGATGATGCTTGACAAAAATATAAACCTCAAAAACACAAATATCAGCGCCAATTCCAGCATTCTCAATAAGTTCTTGCATTCTATCAGTGCCATCACCAACAAGCATCACAGTCCGTCCAAGAAATTCTCCAGCACGCTATTCGGAAAAATAATATCAATAAAAAAAAAATGCTTGTCATTTAACTAAAATCTGATCACTTATCACATATTTGGAACACAAAATGAATAACGCACTTCTTTTTCAATAAGGCCATTAAGCACTTGGCCAGTAGTAATATACTGTGACATATCAAGATCCGTATCCAAAAACCGTTCATAATTTCCCAGTTCTTCAACAGCTATCCCGCCGTTCTTCAACAGAAAAGTGTAACCTGGATCGAGGTTCCGGCCGTCAAGCTGTATAAAAGGATCTATTCGTGCTGCGGTCACTTTTAGTCCTAAACTTTTTAGTAATAGCGCTGTAGAGGAAGCTAATAATCCTTTTTGGTAGCCCGCGATTATGCCATAGGTGAAGAATATGTATTTCGTCATTTTACATATAGTAATTCAAGAGAAACTGCACGCGATCTGGCATTTTTTTATTTTTTTCGCGTCTTTTGGGATCCAAATTTTGATTGGAAGAATACATGCATGAAGCAAAATATATTTCTTTATGATTACATAGATAAAATCATGCTAGGAATAAGCGCATAAAGAAATTATGAGGTTCAATCTGTCGCTTACTAAGTGTTAACAAAAATTAATCTCTCACAGATAATGACACGTATTCAATTATTTAAAGATTTAATTAATTGGGGCCATCAAAATAAACAAAAATGATTAATCCATTCGTTAAATCCATTTATTTCCATTCCAATCCTAATTCATCCTTTGTCAATACTCCTAGTTCATTACGCACAGGCTTCAATTCCTCCAGATACTGCTCATATTGACTGGTATTCTCCACTTTCTCCTTTAAACCCTCGAAAATTCGAACGGCCGTTGGGAAATCGTTAACACGCCTTGCGGCTTTCAACGCCGCCTCAATAACCGATGGGGCGGGCACTAGATCATAAGCAAAACAATTATTTAGATTTCTCTGTAGTTCGAATAGGTCGTCTACTCCCTCGAATAGTTTTACGTAGCGTTCGGTGAAAGCCTCGAATGACTCGTCTTCATGTCCACTCGAGTATGAGCGGGAGCCTGTGTATACATATATCATTAAATTTAGTGGCTATACAATGTTCATATGACTAATAAAACAGCGAGAAAATTGATAGCACCACCACCAGCCATCGAAGGTAACTACAAAAACAGTTACCGTTTGGGGCTAAAAATCGTCCAAAAGAGGGAGGAGAACGAATAGCAACCAGTGTATTCACGGATAACGGTTTGGTGAGAATTGCACGCGTGAGAAGTTGAAGTCTGTTCATTGATGCCGCCAAACCTTAAAAGTAATTTTTTGTTGAAACTTTTAATTGACTGATTGAATACATACATCTAAAATTTAATTTACTTGATCATCTTTTCCCTAAATATAATTTATTTTGAAGAGCTTTTTTTCGTCCGGCGGCAACCGAATAATGTATTCACGTGATACGCCAGTCGCGTCACATAAAAGACTGAAAAATTTTCTCTTATTGGTTTCTTTCCCAGTTGTCTCGAAGACAAACTGGGCACCAAATTTCACATTTATCACATCGCATATTCGTGAGCTATAATTTTGTCTAAATCATTAATTTGTATTCTTCTAAGTAATAACCTTTCAATACAAAATACATTGGTAATAACCCTGATAGTAACAAAAACCCAATAATAAATTCAAAAAATGAAGTATGTTTTAATTCTGGGCGGGGTTATCTCGGGAATCGGAAAAGGTGTTATCGCCTCTTCTACTGGTTTGCTTCTCAAAACGCTCGGGCTAAGAGTTACGGCGATAAAAATTGACCCTTATGTAAACGTTGACGCTGGGACTATGAACCCTATTGAACACGGTAATTTACATTAAATGATTAAAATATGACGCGCGCGAGAATACGCGACTTTACGAGTATCTCAAAAAAATTTACAGATATATCGCGTCTTTGAGAATAGCGAAAATCAATATATGCGAATACATGACGCGTAATGTGCCGGATATCAGTTTAACAAACTCGTTTTTTTCATTAATATTTTTGTCAGGCGAAGTTTTTGTCTTGAATGATGGCGCAGAGGTAGATCTTGACCTTGGCAACTATGAACGATTCCTTGATATTACCTTAACGAGGGATAATAACATAACTTCTGGGAAACTATTTCAGTCTGTTATCGAAAAGGAGGTAAACTTGAGATTTTATATTTAGAAAAGATTAGTTATCTTCATCGATTTCTTGTGCATATATTTTATGGAAAACGTTATAATTTGTTTCATGATTTTTTTTTAATGAAGCGACGAGGTGATTTTCTTGGTCAAAATGTTCAGAATATGCCACATGTAACAGATACCATTCAGAATTGGGTGGAACGCGTTGCGAAAATACCAGTAGACCAATCTGGCCAGGAGCCTGATATTTGCATTATAGAGGTGATTGAATCTTGTGTAACTAACAGCCTGATTTTACGATATTTTTGATTATTTCTTTATTAACTAGTAATTTAATAATATAAAAAGCTGGGTGGAACTATTGGTGACTTCGATTCTTCACTATATATTGAAGCATTGCGACAATTCCAACATCGAGTTGGTCGTGAAAATTTTGTTGTTGTTCAAGTTTCTTTGGTGCCGGTGCTTGGTGTTGTTGGTGAACAAAAATCAAAACCTACACAAGCTACTGTTCGACAGTTACGAGGTTTAGGCCTAAAACCAGACTTGGTAATTGTATATCTCAAAATAACATTATGCGAACATTAAATAATTTTTTGATACGAAAACTAATTAATATTGCTATTAATAGATTGCTTGTCGTTGCTCTCAAGCTTTAGATCCGCGCGTTAAGGCCAAAGTATCGACCTATTGTCATGTTGCTCTTGAGCAGGTGTGATCTTCTATTCATAAATAATATATTCAATTAATTGATTATGATTGAACAATTTCTACGATGAATTCATTTTCATAGGTTCTTTCTGTGCAAGATGTATCTTCCACATACAAGATTCCTTTACTTCTTAAAGAACAAGGTGTTCTTAATTATTTGCGTAAAAGACTTCAATTGGATACTCTGCACATTAGTCCCAGGTATTTTGAAACTGGCGAGGCTTTGTTCCGTGATTGGAAAGCTTTGACTGAAACGTATGTAATTAATTATTATTGAGTCATGATTCTCATTTGGGTTAATATTTTTACGAAGCTCAATTATGTTTTGATGTGTTTTAGACATGCTTCCTTGAAAAAAACTGTGACTATTGCGCTTGTTGGAAAGTACACATTTTTGCAAGACGCTTATCTCTCGGTCACTCAAGCACTTGAGCACGCCTCAATAGCTTGTGAACGTAAACTAACAATTAAGGTGCGATGAAAACATCTCAACTCTATTAAACGAAATTGTGCATTTTTTAATTATACAATTCTGACTTTTTCAGTGGGTCGAAGCGGCCAATCTCGAATTAGAAACCAAAGAAAGCAACTCAGGAAAATATCACGAGGCATGGGAAGATATATTCACTGCTCAAGGTATACTTGTTCCTGGAGGCTTCGGACATCGTGGTACTGAGGGTAAAATAGCGGTTGTTAAATGGGCGAGAGAGAATAAAATTCCGTATTTAGGTAAATGATTTTTTATTTTTATTTCGAAAATTTTATGGTGTTGTATTGATTATTCTAATGCTGAAATTTTTACTTGTGCAGGGATTTGTCTTGGTCTTCAAGTTGCCGTGATCGAGTTTGCTAGAAATGTTTGCGGTCTAAAAGGTAAATATAATATTTGAAGACCAATATTGTGATGGTGATATTATCATATAAAATTGTTCACTAATGACAAATAATAACATAAAAATGCATACAATCAAAATCAAAAGGTGCAAATTCAGAGGAACTTGACCCCGAGACAAATCACAAGGTGGTTATCTATATGCCTGAAGTCTCGCGGACACATCTTGGCGGAACTATGAGATTAGGATTACGACCAACAAAGTTTCAAGATGGATCAGAATCGTGGTCCAAAATTCGTGAGTGTTCAGTTCTAAATATTCTATTGATCATGATAGAACTATTGTAGCTTAAATATTGACAATTTTTTGTTTATTTTAGATAAATATTATGAATCGGATGAGCGCACTTTAATAACTGCTCGAAAATTTTTAGATATTCGTAAGAATTTTTTTATGTGTGATTATATTAACCCTTCCTTATGCTTATTAAAAGAATATTACGTTATCTTTGAAAGATAAAGAGAATCGTATCAATGGAACAACAGAAAACGGAATAAAATATAACACCAGAATCACCAGCAATGGGATCAGAGTTTTCGGTAACGGGACGACACAAATGGCACTGAATGGTAATCATCATCACCATCTTTTCACGGAAGATTTTGTAATTAGTTCCACAACAGCGACAGAAACTAGTATAAAGCCTATGGAAAATGTGTACTCTAGCAAAACAGTAATCGAGGAAAGACATCGTCACAGATACGAAGTCAATCCAGAGATTGTTGAGCGCTTGGAAGCGCAAGGATTGATGTTTGTCGGTCGTGATGAAACTGGTAATCGTATGGAAATATTGGAACTTAAAGGTAAATTTACTCGCTTATCCTCTATCCATGTTACTTTAATTATATTTTAATTCATAAAATTTTTTCATACATAGATCATCCATTTTTCGTGGCCGTTCAGTATCATCCCGAATATTTAAGTCGACCATTAAAGCCTGTCCCGACATTTTTTGGATTTATACAAGCTTCAGCTGCATTTCAAGGTATTTAAATTATATAATTATATGTAATGCTTTTTTATTAAGAATAAATGTATTTGTGATAACTTGATACATGTGATGCGTGTTAAAGTTCATAATTTGAATATCCTTTTATAGGGTATCAAAAATTAATTCCTTGTCATTATGAATCAACATTTAATAGTTAATTTTTATAATTCAAGGTAAGAAAGATAATGTACGTGATATGATGTGATACGTGACCCACTTTTGATAACAGTAACGATAGGCTCAAAAAGTAATTAGAAATCACATTCTAATTGGAAATTGTATTCTAAATAAAAAATTGTATTCTAATTGGGAATTATATTACAATTGGAAATTGTATTAAAAATTATATTATAACTGGAAATCATATTATAATTGGAAATTATATTTTAATTGAAAATTGTATTATAATTAAAAATTGTATTACAATTAAGAATGCTTGCTGAAATTTCTTAATAGCTGCTGAAACTTAGTCAAAATTATAATAAATTATTAGTAAATGAAATACTGAAACTATCAAATTTTGAAATTTGTCATAACTGAAATTCTGCCAAAATTCTAATTAACAATTAGTATATAATTTGCCAAAACTCTGCTGAAATAATTCTGAAGGGATTGCAATAAATATTCTTAATTATAATTGGAAATTATATTTTAATTTGAAATTATATTATAATTAAAATTCATATTATAATTGAAAATCATAATTAAAAATTATATTATAATAAAAAAATTAGAAACATGGATAAATAATTTATTTGTAATATATAATATAATATTATATAATATTCATTATACATATATAATAAAAATACTATTTTTCTTATTGTACTATAAAAAAAATTAAAAATATATGAAAATTTACAAATATACAATTTTATATATTGTAATCAAGTTTATTTAAGACTACTTTATAAAATATTTTATTGTAATTACTTTTAATTATCTGATTAAATTCTAATAATATATTATAAATAAAATTAAATTAATTAATTTAAATAATAATTTTTTTTATTATATTATAAAAATTAATTGAAAATATATAAAATTTAAATATATAGTAACAATAAAAAAGAATACAATAACAAAAATTATTAATTTAGTAAAATTTAAAATATTTCTATATTATTTATAGTGACAATCAAAAATAATGTAATAACATCAAAATTTATTAATTAAATATAGTAAAATATGAATTTTTTTCTTTATATAAAAAGTTTTTAATTTTGCTAATTAATATTTTTTATTTTTATATTAAAATAAAGATAATATTATATATTTTAACATATATTTTTTTCAGATTTTTTAGATTTAATCTGATAAAGTTGTTCTAATTACATATAAAATTAATTATTTTTTTATATGTTTTAATTATAAAAAAATAATAATTTAATTGGATTAAATCTAAAAAATCTGAAAAAATATATGTTAAAATATATAATCTTAACTTTTTTTATTTTAATTAAAAATAAAAAATATTTATTAATAAAATTAAAAACTTTTATATAAAGAGAAAAACTCATATTTTATTATATTTAATTAATAAATTTTGACTTTGTTGCATTATTTTTAATTGTTATTATATATCTAAATTTTTATATAAATTTTCTTTTTTTATAATGATATAATATATATTTCTTAATTTTATTAAAATATATATATTTATAGTTATTTTTATAATTTAATTTAAATTTTTAGTTATTAAATAATTAAAATTATTTTTTAAATTATTTAGCGAGCAAATTTGAATACTAAAATTTTTTAGTTTATTTTTGTATATTTATATCTAATTTTTATAAGCTTAACTCTCTTTTTCTAAGCTAAAATAAAAATATAACATATTTTAATTAATATAATATATTTGTAATTTTTATTTATAATTGCTCAAACTATTTAATTTATTTTTTAATCAATTCTGTAATTTTATTGTAAAATAATTTTAAAATTTAAAATTAATAATAAAAATTTTTTATTTTTAATTTATAGATAACTATAATTTTTTTTATAATTTTTTTATATTTTTAAAAAGTAAAAATAATTGTTATATAATATATAATTAAAACTAATATTAAACAATTTTTTTAAAATACAGTCAAATTTCTTTATAATTACAATTATTTATAGTTATATCTCTTTATAATTATTTTGTTTACTTTCTCATTTACATATAAATATAGTGAAAAAATTCACCTATAATCACATTTTCTTTATAATTATCAAATTTTGCTTTTCCAAGAGTAATAATTATAAAGAAGTTTGACTGTATTTTAATTTTTGATAAAAATATATTAAATATAAATTTATAAAAGTTTAGCAAGCAAATTTGCTCACTAAATCTGATAATAATATTGTTACAGTAATAATATAAAATTATTACTTTTAAAAATAATTAAAAAATATGAAATATTCAAAAATATTTATATAATAGCAAAGATCTCTCAAATTATTTCATTAATTTTGATTACTTCTCATTATTTTTAATTATAAATATTAAAACTTGCATATAAGTGATTTTAAATCATATTATATTAAACAAAATATTATTATTAACTTTGAACTTTATATCATATTGTACTAAACAAATTGCTATTATTGAATTTATTGATTTTGATTAAGTATTGTTATCATTTTTACAAAAAAATCTATAATTAATTATTGATCAACAAAAATTAAAATGTATTACAAAGAATATTAAATATTACATCATGTAACTCAATGATAATTAAATTAATTTATCTCTTTATTTTTGCATTATATTCTATTACATAATTATATTTAGTATATATCATTATCTTTTTGATATCTAAATTGTAATATCTAAATATTAATCACATTTTTGTTTTATTTTCTTTTACTGTTGCACTAAATTTATTTATTTTTGTATTTTTCACTATAAAACTTATATTTTTATCGTTGGTTTATCTCATTTATATCCCTATCATATTTATTTTTATCTTTTTATTTCATTATTTTTAATCAATCATTCATATAATTATTTTATTTTCTTTTTCATTCTTGTTACAATTATTCTTTTTATCTTCTAATTTCTTTGTTATAATTATCTATAATCATGTTCGTACTATTGTTTTCTTTCTATACAACACTTCTTTTTACTCAAACTCTTGTTTTTCTTATCTTAAATCACTAGAATTACAACTAATTTTCTTTTGTATTTTCTTGTTAATGAATTTGTGTAATTTTTCAATGTTTATAGTCCTTTTGTATTGTTAGTATTATATATAAATCGTGATATAGTTTAGAACAATATAAATCGTGTAAAAGATTGAAAATGTCAAGCACTGTAACTCAATGTGTGCCAGGTTCGTGCCGCAGTCCAATAAGAATGCGATTTACTGGTGGCACAGACCAATAAGGATGTGCGAAT